CTGGTTTTCTAGGTAGATGTCACACGGGTATTGTATGTAAAAGTTCACCTGGCACAGGCTTTGGGAGAAGGTTTTTCCTCATACATCTTCTCAGTCTTTATTGTTGCACAATGAAAATAAACAAATGTCCTTAGGTGAATGAGCAGCGTTATTATTTTGTGCTTATGATGATGAGATATTCTGAGAAATGAGTGGCATGCTGACTCCATCCCCAGCCCCCTTCCTCCAGTGTAGGTGAAAAGATCCTATTATTTCTGATAATTGATGCTGAGGGCTGTGGCGTGCCTCATTTAATCAGCACTGTTCAGCACACTCCAGGGATGTAATTCATGCACACTTTAACATCCAACATGGCTGACAAGGCTTGGACACACAACCTAACGGCTACATCATTTTTTAATCAGCTATCTGAGGACTATTTATCTAATCAACAAAGAGCTCTGTCACGTGGAGACCAGAGGTGACATTAACAAGTCTGTAGTTTCTCGGTACTGCGGTGGAGGAGGATTTGTAGGGTGAGACTGGAGATAGTCAGTCTCCTCAGAACAAAAGCATATTCCTACTTAGCAGTGTGCACAAATAATTTAATTTGAGCAACTTGAAGGGGATTAATGTGGTGTTTAGGTGACTGGTATCTGGAGCATCCTTAGAAAATGGTACAGGTATGAAACAGATGGACCATCAGAGACACACATCAGTAATACAGTAGGTGCTTTTAGAAATAATGATGTCTGATCGTAGGGTGGTAAACATATTTACTGCAGTACCTAACTAATCAAAATTAGATGGGAAAAGTAGATTCATTAACGCAGTACAAATAGCATCTCTATTAAAGAAAGCAAACACTGAAATTTTGTCTGCAAGGGGTTGGTCACAGATGTAAAGTTATTGCCTGAACAAATACGAAGATGTGTGGTAATTGGGAGTCATTAAGCTTAATTGATTCCCAGTTACTCCGTATCTTAACAAAAGGCTGTTCCAAAGCCTAATTCTCTTCATCTGCTGGCATGCCAGCTCTCTCTTTCGGATGTGCACACTTAAAACATACGTGTTCGAGCTAATTTTGCATGCAGCATGTTTGTTAAATAAGTGTAATTCAGCTCACGAAGTGAAATGCTCAGAGTTGTCAGCAAATGGAGGATTGCCTGTGCCTCCAGGTACAGCTGGATGTCATCCCAGAGCTTTAGCTGAAAAGGCAAACTGTTGCCACTATTTCATCATCAGGTTTCACTGTAATGGACGGAGACCCAACACGTCATCATATCCCACTAGTTTAAAGCCTTTTCTGCTTAGAGTCATTTTGTGAAGCTCTATTTCGATGCTTTTTGGATGTTCAAAGGCCTGTTAAGCTATTAAATAGCCTGTACAGCTTCCATTTCAGTGGGTGTGGATTGCGGTGTATGCCTTACAAACTGCAGTCGTGAAGATAAGGACCTGGAAGACAAATAACAGAGTGGGATTGCCTCTGGTCATCCACACCGAGTCCATCCAGTACCTACAGAGTCATAGCAAGGTCATCCTGACTCTCTTGCACTCTTACAGGCACCTTCTGTCCATTAGCAGTTTCCAAGCTGTAGCATTTCTTCACATTAAGCCACAGGTATCCTGTGTTGTGTTTGATTTGTTGAGGCTTTTCATAGAAAACCCAGATTTTTTTTGGTTTTGAAGCCCAGGTTGTAGATCTGGAAGCTTTATGTCATTCCTGCAGCTGGTGAAACAGAAAGACGAACTGATGGAGGTCATTTCTTTTAAAAAAGAAGCTGGAAAAGCTTGTTTAGAACCAAAAAAAAAAAAAAAAAGGGGGGGGGGGGGGAGTCTTGCTTGCCAAAATTTAAGACTGATCAGTGCAGTTGATTCTAGTCTCTTTACTGGTATACTCAAGGTAGATGTGTGAGCGTGCCATATGAGTGACACATCAAGTCACAGATGGGGAAATGGAGAGCAGCATCTCTGTAAGAGCTCAAGAAATCATTTTGAGCCTTCGTCATAAAACCACACGTCAGCCTCCAAGAGTCACAGCTTTCCCAGTTTTTTCTTAGTGATTTCTTCCTGTGGTAACTACTGGGAGGAGCTGCCAGGCGATGGCGTGCGCAGTTGGACGTTGCAACAATTAAGGTGTTGTTTTGCAGGGTTGTTAAAAGCAGAGCTCAGAGTCGTTGGGTGACGGATAATGACTTATTGTGCTAGTCCAGATTGAGAGTTTGGAAGCACAAATTAATTTGTCTGGCAAAGGTAAAAGCTTAATCTTGGTGATCTGCATTCTGGAGTTAATGAGCTTGGTGAAGATCAGAAACTGTGCTTCCACTTCATGCCTACACGCTAGTCAGGATGGGGGAGCGCTTTGATTGCTGCTAGATGTTGTTTTGCTGTCGATGGTGAAGCCAGAGATCAGGGCAGGTGTCGATGTTAATCAGATTTTTCTCAAAACATTATTAAAATCCATTAGTCATTCAGATTGTAGGAGTGTAGCATAGCAGGCGTGAGCTGCAATTTCAGGACAAGGTGAATCAGACACCTGGTGTCTTCTGGGGCATAGGCATCTACGTTCCAGGTATTTGATATTTGGGAGAGGTGCTTGGGTTCCTCTGGAACTCTAACTAGGAATGCTTCTTGGTATCTTTGTAAAGAAGATAGGCTTCCAGAAAATGGAATCATAGAACCATAGAATGGCCTGGGTTGAAAAAGACCACAATGATCATCCATTTCCAACCCCCTGCTGTGTGCAGGTCACCAACCAGCAGCCCAGGCTGCCCAGAGCCACATCCAGCCTGGCCTTGAATGCCTGCAGGGATGGGGCATCCACAGCCTCCTTGGGCAACCTGTTCCAGTGCCTCTCCACCCTCTGGGTGAAAAATGCTTCAACAAATCAATCTACCATAAAGATCTTTCTAATCACGAAGCTTTGTTTCTGTTAAATAATGAAGCATTTTTAATAGATTTTTATTGGAATCCAGTTCTGTCTTCCTTGGTTTTGTTTGTATATACACATGTACATGGAACAGAATATTCTGGTATATAAGCCAATGACAGATCAAGCAAATAACAACATCTAGTGCCTGCTTAGGCCTTGTTTGTAGGCAGCAGAAATTTATAGTTAGGCTGTAATTCTGAAGGCAGTCAGGATAGGATGGCTGGGCCAGGCCCTGCTGGTCACACATACATCAATCACCCCACAGAAGCTGCATTTGGCATTGTCCAAGCCCTAATGGTGACAATATTATTGGATTCTCAGAGATAGCAGAGCACCGCAAGGAAGCAGGCCGGAGTCTAATCAGTGCTAAAGGACGCACTGGGATGTATCAGGATCTCAGCATCACGGAAAAAAGAGTCCATTCCTTTAAAAAGAGGAAAAAGGCATGACATTTAACACGTTAAAATGGATTATTTCATCAATAGGTTAATGGGAAACCAGGCTGCAAGTTCACTTCCTGCTTATATATCCATACCTGAACATGTGATTAAAATATGAAAAATGAAAACAGACTAGGAGGAGGTCTTTGTATACTGGAAACAGTCTTCCTTTTCTAAGCATGCCAAACCTCGATTTTGCCTATTTATATGTAAATTTTTTTTTTTCTTTTTCTTTTTCTTTTTTTTTCAGGAAAAACAAGGTTTCAGCTGGGAAATGGTGCCTCTCTGGTTGCTGGTACCTGCTGGGACTTGTTAAACATTTCTAAAACGGAAGGTTTTTCATATTGAAGGATGCGTATAATGAAAATATTTTTAGATTTGATGAACCTTAATTTGTAGACAGATCTAATGTAGCCTTTCTTTGATGGGAGCAATGAGGCCCTGGCCCGGGCTGCCTGGATTGCTGTGAATGCCCAGGGCCAGGTTGGATGGGGCTTTGGGCAGCTTGGTCTATGGGAACCAGATGTGCAGCCTGAGTTCTTTGGGATGTTAAAAAATATCTGTTAAATTTAGAAAGAAAATTCTGACAATATTTTCTCGCACTGCTGGCTACATTACGTGATGTTCTACTAGGATGAGGTGCTGATGGGGTCTTATTCCAGACTTGCCGTGAGTTTCTTTGTAATAAGCTGAATTAGAGTGGAGGAATGTTGAGGGAGAAAATATGGCAGAGAAATTAATCATAATTAATAGCGCTGTAAGTGGCACTGTCTTTCTTAGAAGCCTCATATCTGAGCTCAAGGCTCTTCCCTGTCTGTGGGCAGAACTTCTTTACCAAGAGAGTGGTGAGGTGCTGGAACAGCTGCCCAGAGAGCTGTGGATGCCCCGTCCATCCCTGGAGGTGTTCAAGGCCAGGTTGGATGGGGCCCTGGGCAGCCTGGGCTGCTATGAAATGTGGAAGTTGGTGGCCCTGTGTGTGGCAGAGGGGTTGGAGCTTCATGATCCATGAGATCCCTTCCAACCCGACTGTTCTGTGATGACTCTGTGATGAAGGTCCTCGCGAGCTGCTGAGAAGGAGATCTGGATATTCATCCAGTTCTTGCTGGTCACAGAGATGTCTTCCTTGATGCTGCAGAACAGATTTTACAAGGTGAGGTGACTGGAAGGCTTGCAGAGGTACCACTTAGCAGATGCATCATTCCCTCCTTCTATGTGGGATGGCCCAGGGTAAAGGAGCAACTCATCTGGCTGATTCTCCCTCTTAAATAGCACCGTACTGCAGTTGTTTTGTCTGGTTATGTGTCCCTTGTACAAACACATTGTGCCTTTTTATTTCTGCTGCTCTTTTTGTCTGTTCCAGTAGCAGGTCCATCTGGTCTTGCCAGATCTTGTCACCTTTTAGAGATCTAAAAATCATTCCCAAGAAAGAAGAAGCCTTCCATACGATGTGAGGATTTGAGAGGCTGTTTAGTCCTGTGTGCATTTTGTGTGTAGCTCTTCACACGTAACAGGCTTGTGCTCGTATTTTACTTCACATGCTATTTTGATGTTTCTTTTCTCCCCTTTTTTCATATATTTTTTTTTTCCTTTTTCTTTATTTTTATTCTATTCTCTTTGTTTTCTCTCCCCCTTCTGCTCTCTGGATGCAGCCAAACGCAAAGCTTGGAAACTAAACCGTGTTGGTAGCCTGCGAAATATATACAGCAGCAGCAGCACCAACACTGAAGGTAACAAAACCACACGTTGTAGATGAACAACCCCTCTCTAACCTTTTTTTTACCCCGCTTCTCTGGAAGTTGTCCTCCTTGCGTCTCCCACCAAATGCAGGAATGGAAATCAAATTTGCCCAAAGCATGTGTGCTTTCATCTTATGTTTGCAGAGTCATTCCAGCGGTCTTTTCATCTTTTTGTTTGCCCATTTTATTTTACCATTCATGTTCCTTTCAGCTTACTTAAATTCTGACCTTTCCCTCTAGTCGTGGAGTGGTGATGTTTAAATTACTTCAAGAACCCATTTTCTTCCTTTATTTATTTATTTCTTGATTTTTCCCCTTTCTACATGTGGCCACTCGATGTAATATTTCCGAAGTTATTACAGTTTTTAAAAGTGTTAGTATCAGGTGTAATGATCTGTAGCCTAATACAATGGTGTGCCGTGACATTTAAGCAACAGTCTTAATTTGTTTTGTGAAAGCGTTCTCCATAATGCTCTTTGCAGCTCTAATCCAAAGGCGAGACAGTGCCGGGTCATTTGCATGTGCTGCTCTTGCTTGTAAATTCTGTATATTGTTGTATTTCTAAAGGTCGTGCGGTGCCAAAGTTCACAAATTGACTTACGTTGCTCTTTTTTTTTCCGCCGAAGACAGCCAGCGTGGCTTTTGTATGAGAGCACATTGGATTTTTCTTCCCCCCTCCACCACCTCCGTTTGAACAACATAATTATAAACTTCCTTCTTTTTATTTTTTTCTCTCTTTTTTTTTTTGTTACTATTACAAATGTCAAAAGGTCAGAATGAGTCGGAAGCCGGGAGAGGAGAAAAACCCTCTGCCACCATCTCCAGCAGCATGTAAGAGGGACGGTGTAAGAAATACAGAATGCAAAATAGGTCACAACTCAGTACTCTCCATACGATGTTAGGAGAGGGGGGAGATATATATATTTTTTTCTTCACTTAAGTGCAAACCAAATGGGTCAAGTAATCGCGAGCGCATGCCCTAACACTAATTGACTTATTTTGGAATGATTATAACTGTAATATTTTTCTTAATGTCACTGTTTTCTGGGCTGTTGGTTTTAGTGATTGCCAAGCAGTGGCATTAAATCTCTTGTAAATTTTAAATTGCATGCTATTTCTGTAAACAAGTCCCTCTGTTCACATCCTGATCATTAACCTTTGGTGATTTATATCACCGTCCTTTTTTTGCACAATTACTGCTGGATTGCTGCTGGATGCCATGCTCTCACTGCCAGATAAAGTGTACGTGGGAAACAAAAGTGGGATTTTACGGCGGCTTGTTAAGGAGGCTTTTTTAATTATAATTTTGTTTTATTCCTCGTCGTAAATGGAAAATTATTACCTTTGAAGCAACAGTTGCAAATGCGGTCTGTTTTGATCATGTTATCTCTTCCAAGTGCAGAATGAGAGAAGAAGGTGATTGGACATTAATACTGTGCTTTCTTTTACAATTTAATACGAAAATAAGTAGGTTGTTTTTGTTTTTTTTTTTTAATTAACATTAATATCATTTTGTATTTGTGTGCTGGCTTTTGTTTCTTCTTTAAATCAGCGTGCAGGCACGCTTGCTGTTACAGGGTTACTCCTGGAGAAACTTGGGGGTTTATGTGCACCTGTCATTAAAGTGTAAGCTTGATATGTGTGTAAAGATATCCCTTGTGTAGCACAGACTAAAATCTTGGGGTTTAAGGCCTGTCTAGTCTGAAGAATCTTCCATTGCACTAATCCAAGCATCTATGGAAGGCATGTTGAATAAACAACCTTATGGGAACAGGTTCCTGATAACCCTGATCCAAAGGGATTTGGGAGATGCCATCAAAGCAAAATTCTGGAGTTTGGCAAGTGTATCATTTTGGAAGTTGTACCCCTCACTGAAAATGGAAGGGTCTGATGTTCTCCATAATTCTGCATCTCTGGGCCCGCGTGCTTCCCCTCAGTGCCATAGCTGCAGTTGTGAGACTGGCAAATGCAGAGTTAATGAGCAGTGTAAGTATTAAAAGCCACATGTTTAGATAATTATGCCTTCAAAAAAGAAAACGTTGATAGGAAATGACAGTCCAGAATAACAAATCTGCTTTAGTTTTTAACACGTGCTCGCTCAGTTGCACTTCTGCATTGTTACCAAGCAAAGGTATTACCATCATGCACGATTTTCAGAAGCTTTTCTTGGCTACTTTGTAATTCTGGCACTGTGATGTAGGTCTTTAGCCTGTTTCCACGTAGGAAAACCTCCAGTGAAGAAGGAGAAGGCACAGATGTGCGTGCTGCAACTGTTCCATAGGTGCTTAGCAGAGGGGAGCATCTGCACGGGCCTCAGTCTGGTGGGTCACTTGTGCTTTCTGCCTGCACAAGGTCACCTTTTGCTCCATGCCGTGCTGAGCTGAGTGTCCTCCCTGAAAGTGGCCACTCTGTTTAAAAGCTGTTGATGCTCTTGCAGTGATGCTGCACCTGTGCAGAAAGTTCACGTTGGCTTAAGCCCTGCAGATGGGGAGGAAGATGGCTGTTAGAGCACTAAAGATGAGCTCTGCCTGGTCGGCTTAGCCAAGAAAGGTCTTTATCTTTGAAACACATATGGTTTAAAAAGTGAACTGCAGGCTTGAAGCACACTAGGAAACACCTATTGCAAGTACAGACTTGCATGCTGCATGAACTGAATGTAAAAATGACTTCATGGTGCTCTTTGAACCATGTTGTCCTGGCATCCAAATAAAGTAAGTGCGTATGGTGGGGGGAGAGCGTCTGTCCCTTGAGCTAGAAACAAGCCTTTCATCATCAGTTTGTCATTGATGGGCAGTGATACAAAACACTGGTACTGAAACATTCTTCCAGTGGAACACAACCTTTATCAAGAGCTGTGGGCAACTGCTAGCAGAGCTATATTGTCCTGATAGGGTTGATTTTCAGAACTAATTAGATTTAGACACTGGGTTTGGAAAGGGGAGAAGAAGTATTAGCATAGTCATGCCCAGTGGGACGTGGCACAAATATTTCTTTAATTGATGCTGCTAATAAACATACTCATCTTCCAACTTACAGGGATAATTTACACCAAGTGGCAGAAGATAGTGATAGTTCTCATGATGTAGTACATAAATAACACTTTTGTTGTGAACAAACTGTATGTTGTAAACATCCAATGTTGATTGCTAGGGAAGTTTTTCATTATCATCTTCAAGAACAAAAGGCTGTGGGTTACTGAGGAAGGATGCTGGCATGGAATGACTGTCAGTGTTACTTCAGACAGCACTGGATGGGTTTGAAGCCGCAACCTCAACTACAGAAGATGCTTGATGGGTGTTTGAAACACGCCATTGAGCCTTCAGGTTCTATACTTATTGTTTCTGGTATCGTGCACCAGATGTGCACAGGGACTTGCTATTAATTTACCAAGGTAGCATTGATGACGACTGCATTGTGCAGATGCACAAGCTGGCATGAAAGGGGCTGGTTGTAAGCCACTTCCTTCAGAAGTCAGAACTCCAGTTCTGTTTCTGACTGCCAAAATAATGGGCCCAACAGAAATGCCCTAATCCTGGCAAGTATTCATTTTACACCCATAGGAAAGCAGCAGTAGTGTTTCACTGAAAAGCAAACCTTTGGGATGGGTGCAGTTTCTGGCTGCAGGGTGCCTGGCAGAATGGCACCCATACCTTCTGCTGGCATGAGGCTGTGCCCAAGGCTCCACACCAGAGTTGCACGGTGTCTGCAGCTACTTATGCAGTTCCTAACAATGAGAATGAAAGGAATGGGAAGGGGAAACAGCAAACATGTATGGCCAGCATTTAGAACTGCTCTTATTGGTCTGCCAAGACGCGTGCCGCTGCTGGATGTGTGCTTTGCTGTGTTTCAGCAGACTTAACCCAGCTCTCTGAAACAAGTTACAGGGTGAATGTATCCTGTGATTATTTTGTGTCCTTTTCTAACAGAGTGCCTGTTTGTTTCCCCAGCAGAATGCCCCCAAGGAATTGTGTATGGTGTTCCACAAGCAGGTGGGCTGTAGCAGCACGCGTTGTTTGGCAGAGGACAGTAAATGTTGACTTGGGTTGAACACAGTAACCTTCCTTCAGAGGGATAACAGTGTGCAGCACAGAGTAGCACCATGTAGTGCCTTCAGGGTGGCTCCCGTGCCTCTCTATGCAATCTGGTGTAGTCTTCCTCACGCTCACTGGTTGCACATCCTCAAGTAGAAGAAAAGCTCACCAATGCTTTGGGTTCTGTATCACATTCTGAATGCTTCCAGCTCATTTCCCATTTCAGCCACCTCTCTCCTCGCTTACGCAGCAGCCCCACAACGCAACATTTGAGACATCTCCTGTCCTGTAATAACTTCCAAATGTAAATCAGTTGCAGCTGTTGCTTAGCACTTTAACCCTTTGTCTGCTGAGCCTCCAGGAAATAATTGATGACTGATTGGCCCATTAACCTTTTTAAAAAAAGTTTGACAGCCTGGACTTGTGTAATGAGGAGGGATTCCTGGTGAAATCAGCTTGATGGCTGAGTTGCTTGCCCCTGAGGATGAAAAATTAGCCCCACAGGACCTCGTCTGCATAGAAACTGGACACAATTAGTGTAATATCCGGTGTTATTAATGTAGTTTGGAGTAATTGGGCAGGTTGATTTCGACAGGTTGATGGTGCTAAAATACTATTACAGTGGACCTTTCTATGAATAACCGTTAAACATGGAAAACCGTTTAATAAAATGTTGTGATTGGGCTCCTAGGGATTTAAATAGCACTACCTGTAATTTCACTAAAGGCTAAAACTGACCAATTCCACTCTGCTGCCCGGCTTTTTCTGTTTGCTTTTGTGATGGGTCCGGATTTACAGATCACTGCCTGCGTGGCACGTCTGGTTTGCTCACTGCTCTCTAGGTGATGTGATGTGGGCTGTGCTGCTTTGTTTCCCTGAGCAGGGAACTCCTGCAAACTTGTTCTGTTGTCAACAGTGTTGTCAGCCAACTTGCTGATGAAGTGAAGGCATCCTTCCAGC